AAAAAAAAAAAAAAAACAAATCTCGTCGTTGCGTGTGGGAGAAGGCCCTGCATAATGCAATGAAAGAGATGCGCGATGTCATTAAGGTCGATTAAGATAAAAGTCCAGAAGCGAGTTGAGACCCGAAGAACGGTTTCTGAAACGCTCCCAGATATCTCCACTGTGCATCGTATTCATTCGTTCATATTTATATGCAATGGAACTGACTCATTCGAATGATCATTGCTGATAATTGAATTGATATCATTGAGTAGCAGTTCCATGCTAATGATACAACAACCGCAGATCGGGATGATGCTCTTAGCGTCGCGCATCTAATCATCCTCAAGAAACAAACAGATTCATTTGCAACGTTCGAATTGTTTGTTCGCAATCATCATTCTCGTCTGTCGCTTTTGTATCATGCAGCGCGATACACTCTTATTATGTAAGGTCATCATCACGAAGACGCCGGTCTGCCAATCATCACAACACAATACTAGCAACAGTTTACATTTTATCATGGTGAAATCATCATTCATTGCTACGTTTCAATTGTAAACGAGCGCTGCTTTTTCATTTTTATATTATTATCAAGTAGAAATTAACCGACGGAAAGTCGCGTTTAATTAACGATATCTGTTAACACAGCGTTTTGATGATTGTTCAGAGGAAACCGCATCGAAACAAACGAAAACAATGAACGCGTTTCAGCGATCCTTGTCCTTCAATGGGCGTGAGACGATCTCGGTTTATTAATGAAGTAATTGATGATAAACGGCAATTAATGCGTTCACAGAAACTATAAATGTTAGCTAAATGTTAAACATTATTGTAAACACATTTAAATCGTCGGGTTATCACCCGTATCTTTATTTATTTAATTATTTGTTTTCAATTAAAAGTTGGCCTTGTTTTTTTTTTTGGTTCAAAATCAAATACGTTAGCACTTAATGACAAATGAAATTCTTGTTATAAAATCAAACAATCTATTGTACGTGTTAAACAATTGATTCACAAGCTATTAATTATGTTTGCAAAGTAATTCAATTAAATTGCATACTTAGTAACGGTGAACAAAAGTATGCAAAACAATAGAGCTAATTAGATAATGCATTTATTAATTTCTGTTTCGAATACATTAATAATATGGCCTGTACAAATTACGATGAGCGTTGAAATTGACGCACGTAGTCTTCACTTATGGTAGCAACTAAATATAGTAATGGTTAGTACATGTTAGCATTTACAAATATCTTCATGTAATATTGTGTGTATGCAACCAACATAAGTTTAATTGCAAAAGTTGTATTTTGCAGTGAATTTTTGTTATATAAGACAAAAATTATTTGAAACACGTTTCATCACACTTTTCGCTCTTATATCATATATAAATTATTCTATTTCAACATTTGCTGTTACCAATTATACAAAATGATCAATTTATTGTACAATTCACTTAATTCTTAATCATCCAATTAAGAGTCAGATCAATTGTTTTAAAACGGTTCAATAGGCGAGTTGTTAAATTGTAGTCAAAATCAAACCGATATGGAATTTTGATACTATTTACTTTTTACAAGTTTCTTTAATAATTTGTATGATTTGGAAATTCCAGATTGAATTGATATTAATTTCCTTAATTTCAATTGTATTTTTTAATATTAACAAAAAAAAAAGATATATATTTTCAATACTAGGTGAACGAAAAAATCGTAATTTTCCTTGTTCATTTCAAGTACAGTCAACCCTCCTATAACGCGGTACTCTCAGAACGCGGTTTCCATATAACGCGGAGCTGAAATTGCTACAGCCCTCCTATAACGCGGTACTCTTACAGCGCGGTTTTCGTTCAACAGCATCCCATCAACGCTTAAGTCGTGTTGGAAACCTCTTTTACCTCAAATGGTTCAAGCAATACAAGATGATTCCACAATTTCACTCACAGTTACAGAAATAGTAAACATTGCTTCTCATTTAAGCGATGAAGAATTTGCAGTAAACCATCAGGATGTAAGAGAACTAGTGTTCGGGGAAGAAACTTTAGATGAGGAAGAACTGATGGAATTAATTGATGCATCCATCTCAAATGCATTGGTAAACGAATATAAGGAAAACGATTGTGTGCCAAATCTCGATTTACAAGATGTGAAAAAAGGGGCTAAATTTGGCTAAAGAATTAGAACTTTATTTCATTCAAACTGATCGTTCAACGGTACGCAGGGCAAAGTTTAAAAGAGAGTTAAGAAATTGCTTAGTTCCCTTCTATAGAGAGGTTTTAGTGGAGTTGGAAAAAAAAGCTACAATCGAAAACCAATGTGAAGATGAACTTAGTGATGAAGACATTTAGCCCATTAAAAGAAGACGAGTTAGGCGACTCATATCTGACAGCGAGGATGAGTGTTGAAAGATTACATAATTTTACAAAAGTCTTCATTGCTTTTGTTGAAAAACAGTCTTTTAGTTTAGTTCTTGTTTCATTTTTTTTTATCAATCCTTAAATAATTTATAATTTATCTTGTCTTTTGTATTTATTGGTCTCCATATAACGCCGTATGAATGATGTGATTTGTACTAAATCCGAGTTTCTTATAGCGCGGTTTCCATACAACGCGGTACGCACTCACCGCGTTATATTTGAATATTAAGTGGTAATAAAGCTGTGTAGTCTGCAGACCTATGAGAGTGAGAACGGTCTTTGAATTTGAATTAAGTGTGATATGAACAAACGTAATGGGGCGTTTAACAGGCGACCGTCTATGAGGAAAGGTTACAATCCACCAGGACTTGTGCACTTAATTTCGTTGAAGGCGATAAATAATTTTAAGAGTGAGGGTTTTTGGGGTGACATTAGTTCGGTAATTGCTAGAATGGAAGACAATTATACGGGGAGCGACCCTCTCTCGAAACAAAGGATTTATGAGTGGATTAACAGCAAACATCCACCACCCCATGAGCGCGCGAAAACGGTATCCGGAAGCAAACAACCAATTTGTGGATGCACCAGTTAGGGTGGAAACAGAGTTAGTTATGGTAGAAGATAAGGAGGAGTTATGAACCACCGGAAACGGCCATTATTTTTAAAAGGAAATTGGAGCAGACGTTACGAATTCGTTGGGAATGCAACGAAGAATCTTTGTAACCGATAAGGAGAATATAGTTATTATACAATGAACGCGTGCTTGGTATTGGGATAGACGATATAATCGTGCGAAAAGTTACATTGGGATGAAGATAAGCTCGATTTTCTGATGCGCCGGAAAAACTCTGGATAACGGATCCCTCTTTAATGGAATCCAAAGGGAATAAAATGGTGTTTTTATGGACTTGTCGACTGCATTGGCCGACTTCCAGAAACTCACTTTTTGTGGACGTTATCCCAAATTCGTTTCCCATTTAACTACACCTCTCGCCTTATATATTGCACCGCACACGAACATTCAATAGCAAACTAAGTGATTTCATTCAAGTGTAACTAAATTTTAAGGTATACTTCGACTTACGACTTTTACAGACTTCGTTTACAATATTGATACCAAATAATAGAAACAAACTATTTAATGTAGATTTTTAATTAAACATTATTTATTGAATTAATTTACATTTACATATTTATAAAAAAAAAGTTACATGAAAATAGTAAGTATGTAATGGACAAACAAAATAAAATTATTAAATTGGAACAAACAAAAATTAATTGAAAACTTTCACCCTTCAGGTTTTGGAAAAATGATGTTTGATATAATTACTTCAAAGTTGGGAATTTTTGATGTAAGAGCAATTTGAATACGTATAATCGATTTCTGTTTTTATGTAGAAAATTTTTTACCTTCATTTGGGGGTAATTTACCCCAGTTCTACGACCTCTGATTTAAACAATATCTTATTTTAAAATATTATTCAACATTAAATCTAGTATTTATTAATACATCAATAGTTTGTTAATAAATCACTAGTGGATTTTGATAAATTGTTAAATGTTTAAAATAAGTATAAATTTGTATTCTGGTGAAACAGTGCATCAAAATCAATAAACAAACCAGGCGCAATATTTACATTAAAGATAATATTTACAATTTACAATCATATTAATTTGACATTCAGGGTTATCATGTGTTTGTCCTGAACATTTGACATACGCAAATCGTTTATCTGTGTATTTAGAATTTCAATTTTTGAAATTATTTATAGAAAATTATTAATAATAAATTAAAATTATTGTTATGTAAAAGTCGATATATTAATGTTTTTAGTAAGTCGCTCACTTGGAGGATAATAATAATAATAAAGTTGAGTCTAAGTAAATAAAATAATTTTACTTTTTAGTGTCTTTCAAAGCAATAACAAACTGAAAACTGTGCATAATATTTACATTGAAGATAATATTAGTTTTACATTTAACATGATTCACTTTTAAATTTGTAATTTCTATTATATTATATTATGAAACGAGTATATTTTAAAATAAAATAAATTGAACGTTTGAAGATGAATTATATAAGATTCGTGTTGAAATTAAGTATGGATTAGTTTAGTTTAGTTCGAAGCCGTTAATTTAATGGATTTATTTAATTAAGTCCGTTCTAGTTTATTATTTCCGTCGAAGGACGAACGGCAGACACATGTTTACAAGTCGAATTATCTTCGTGCGCGCTTCTAAATAAATTTCGATCGAAATGCAACAAATACATGCATTACCAGACGCAAAGTGTGAATCGATAAAACATCGATACTCTATTATTCCGGATAAACAAGGCGATGTGATTTGATGTTACGTTTTCCTCGTTTGATCGATTGGATTTTATTAATAGAAGCCTACGCCGATATTATTGCAGCTGTGCGTTATTAGATTTTCCCGAGTTTTCTTTTCAATTATACTTTTCGAATACGCAATTCAAGAAAGAAATGTAATTGGAAATTTGCTTTATCTTCTTTTGGATAAAGTGTGTGTGTGGGGTGTACGAACGACGTTAATTTAAAACCTCTCCTCCTCCGTTCGTCATCCACATTCTTCGTCTATTAAGTCATCATCAAATGTTCCCCTCGTCTGAGTGTTGGTGGTCTTCCGTCGTCCCCTCTTGTGAAAACCACTTCGTTTTTCATTTCCCCCTTTTTGACCGGAAGCGCTCCGCTTCTCAGAAACATCGGAGGGGGTGGGCCGATGGATTCAGATCGTTTCCGCTTGTTCTACGTCCTTAATGGATTATTATTGCTCTCGACTTGAGTACACACATACATATAATGAACGATTATTGATGGGCATAAACTCTGTTGCTTCTTTAATGCGACCCGATGGCTTGGGAATATTGAGCAAACAGCGTTCGAGCTATTTTTAAAATCCAATTATCCGGAGGAGGCAAATTGCAAAGACGGATTAAAGTCCGTCCTTCGCGACGCGATCAAATTGACAAACAATCACCAACAAAGCCTACTTAATTGTGACGTCTGGATTGTCTGAAGCGGAGACGGGATTAAAGGAAATTAGAAAGATGTGTAATTTACAACAAATGAATCTTTTATCCTGCTTTGCTTTTGTTTTTAATCCGTTCGTTGTCAGTTGATTTCATTAAATTTATTTTGTTTTTGTTTTTGTCTCGTTTCAGCGGTCTGAACTTCCAGGATCTGATGGTGCGTCAGGGAGCCATCGATGCTCCTCCAAAGTGTCCTTTCATCCTGGGATTCGAGTGCGCCGGTGAAGTTGAGCAAGTTGGTGAAGGAGTTGAAGGTTTCTCGGTAAGTTTTAATTAATTATAATACACACTTTTTTTACTTGTAATTTATCTTTAAAAACATTCTTCAGAATCTGAGATTATCAAGTTGTACAGTTTTTGTTGCTCAAGAACTACAACATTAAACAAATTAATTAAAGTTATAAACTTTAGTACACATTCCATTATTTATTTGTAATAAAAAATCTTTTTTTTTTCATATTGTAAAGTTTCAATGTTCATTTATTTGCTAACATTTCATAATTGCTGCCAAATACAAAAAAAAACTTCCTAACTTTATAAAAAAAATATTTGCAAAAGAACTATTTTTTTCGATAATTTTCACCACTCCTTATTTTTTTCATATTGTAAAGTTTCAATGTTGATACATTTGATAACATTTCATAATTGCTGCCAACTACAAAAAAACTTCCTAACTTTATAAAAAAAATATTTGAAAAAGAACTAATTTTTACCACTCCTTATTTTTTTTCATATTGTAAAGTTTCAATGTTGATACATTTGCTAACATTTCATAATTGCTGGCAAATACAAAAAAAAACTTCCTAACTTTATAAAAAAAAATATTTGCAAAAGAACTAATTTTCACCACTCTTTATTTTTTTTTCATATTGTAAAGTTTCAATGTTGATACATTCGATGACATTTCATAATTGCTGCCAACTACAAAAAAAAAACTTCCTAACTTTATAAAAAAAAAATATTTGCAAAAGAACTATTACCACAATATATATTCTAGTAATAAAACTTAAAACCATTTTTTATGACAATTCTCCAGTTATCTGGAAATGTATGAAAGATTAATTTTAATAGCAATAATTATACAACGAGAACGCTTTCTACGCGACGAATGCTGCATTCGTAACTTTCCAATAAGTTTATAATGTCGATTTTTCTTAAGAAAAAATATGCTCAAAAATAAATCATCGCCTTGTCCATCATTTCTTAAACTGACAGCCGACTATTATATTGTAAATTACCATGGAAACAATACATTCTTTGACGTGATTAAGACAGCAATCAATTAGCGAGATTGCTGTTTATGGACTTTGCTCTGCGGCTTTTCTCGTTAGTTTGGTGTTTGTAGGTAGATAGTAATACCTGTTTCTTCCATGTACGTCGTTCTCAACAACAACATCCCTTATTCATTGCACGAGTCCAATCCATTACATCGTGTAGCCCACCTTTCTTCCCTCATTCTATTATCATCTTACTCTCTCTCTTTCTCTCTGCCCTTCCCGTCCAATCAATATCTTCCATTCTTGACATTGCCACACCTGAATCTTGTTACAGTCTTGATGCAATATACATTGTGTTTATTCATACCCTTGTTGCTTTCTTTTTTTTAATATATAATATCATATGTAACTTGATTTTTACATAAAACATGGAATCATGAAAAATAACAAAATTTAAATGACGCTTACTAGATTTTAATTTTGTAAGATTTATCGTGTCTTAATATTTATAATGGTTATTGTTGCTAATGTAGAAAGAAGTGTAAAAGTTTTGAATGAGTTTGTAGAAGAAGTAACAGTGTTTAGGAAGCAGAATTGATGGCTCCTCCACCTTCCACCCTAACTATTCAAGTTTTATCTACGTGCCCGACCTCGAACCCAAAAGTTTTGTGCGACATTAAGAGGGATTTTAGTGGGGAAAGCCTACCACAGCAATCGTATTCCCCAAGTATCGATCTTTTTCGTTCAGGTGTCGTTACGGATTCCTCCCTTTCGGACCACCAAACACGCACAGCACCAAGCGACATAAAATGCGTGTGCTCAGGGTATGGGGGCGGTTTTATTGCTCCCCCTGTTTTTTTTATGTGCCCCACGGGACTGGATTTTGCACGTTTATGCAATGCGGAAGGCGAAAGTAGGAAGAGAGAGAGAGTACGGGTAGATCGGTGGCGTCGGACTTCTTGCACGAAACCGTCAGTATATATAATAATCAACCCGACGACGCCGAAAGCATAAATAATAAATTTTCTACTTCCATCCTCGTAAAAAAGAAAAAAAAATATAATAATAAACCTCGTAGGCGGAAGGAAAATAATTTTGTTTTTATTAAAAAGTTCATAGCCGGCTTTCGGTGTTTTACTGCTCGCTTTAATGATAATTAAAGGGGGGACAGAGAGGACCTGTTTCATATTTCTTCCTGTATACGTGACGTTTCGCCTCGGGTCGAGACAGGCTTATTGTTAGATCGTTTTTCTCCCTCATGGTTAAACGACCAACGTCGCTACAGCAATTTATTTATATATCCATTATATCCATACATAAATATAATGGACTTCCAATTTCCGCAGTTTATTGCTTTCGCCATTGGCTAACCATTAGAGCGGTTCACAAACATGGAGTTAATGGTGCATCCACGTTACGCTTTGCATGCATTTACTGCTGTCAGGTGTACCAACTACATACTTTGCATTTAACCAATAACATGTTGGTAGTTATGGAGAACGTTTGCAGTGAATTTCAGCAGTATTTGTGAATTTGATATATGGATATTTTTATTACAAACAAATATATATATATATATTTTTAATATGGTTGTCTATTATCAAAGTACATTTTTCTTTTCTATTTTAAAAGAAATAACAAGAGTTACCAACCAATGAATTGTTTAATAATTTATGTCACTATATTAAGTTACTACATCAATTATATATTGAGTCAAACGTCATTTTATTTTAAAAATTTTAATTGTACCTGAATTATGAGCAAAGGGTTAAAGTTTGAAGAATTTTTGCTCGAAAAGTTTATAATTTCTGAATTTAGAAAACGTTTAAAAAAAAAAAACATTAATATATCAAACTTCTTACTGTTTGATAATTGTAATTATTATGTCTGTGTGTGTTCATTAAAATGAGAGTAAAATAATATCTCAAAGGCATTTTAACGTAATTTGTTTTTGTTCATTCATTAACAGACTCGCTTTCATTTTCTCCTCGAAGACGGATGGGATGTCTCGTCTCTCGTCGAGAAACAATTTTATCAATGTACAAGAAAAAAAAAATGTATATACAGACTTGTTTCTTTTGAAGAAGAAGTAGAAGAAGAAAATACGAACTTTTCATGGCTTTTCACGAAAATCAATTTTTAATGGAATAACTTTTTCGTCGGTAAAAACTTTGAAGTGATGCAATCATTTGATGAATCTAATTTAATTTCATTCCGCATTACAGCAGAAGCCACAGTTTTCTTTATAATCACTTAAATTAAGAAAATATTTGAAAAATAACAAACTTTATTTATGGATTTAAATAACAATTTTTCAATTAAAAACAGATTTAATTCAACTTTTATTAATTAATGTTTTATGTATTAATTCAATTTACAAAAAAAACAGCTGAATATTACAAAAATTACGGTAAATTTTAATACAAATGCATGAAATATTCTCTTTATATTTAACATAAAAAAATGAAATATTCAATGTCTATTCGTTCTATTCTCAAGTAAAACATCCTATTTTGGCAATTTTCTTTTAGCTCTGCGAAATAACGACTCTCTTTGATCTTGACTTGCATCTCTTGAAACTCCAGCTACAATTTTTTTTATCTTTGTTTGTTTGTTTGTTTGTTAAGTAATGAACGAGCGCAAGCAACCTATTATATCTGGAGAAAATCCTTTCATAAACCTTTTCATTCGCTTTTATAAAGAGTAAACAATAATGCAAACACTTTATATCTATTCATATACTTTATGAACACTGTAATATAATGTTTTACTTTATTTATTACTACTTTTTATTGCAGACATCAAAAGATATTTTTATTATTATACGAATAAAGAATTTATATACTTTTAGTCACTCATAATCTGATAATATTTGATAAATTTTTCAATTAGTTTTTTGGAGATGTTTAATGTCATTAGTTCTTTATCAAATTCACAATTATCTACAATCATTTGAGGTTAATTTGGAAACATTTTGAAAACTTCTTTAATTTGTTAATATACAAAGTTTCATTTTCATCGCCTCTATGTTGTGTTGATTTAGTTGAATAGATAAATTTAGTTAGTTCAGAATGGAGAAGATGTCTTCCAAGTAAGGATTTGCAATCCAATTTTTGTCATCGAAATAAATGGTCAAATTTGATTTTTTTTATCATTTAGAAATTGTTCATTTCTTGAAAAATAGGCAATTTAATATAGTATATGTGCTATAGTGTAGAAATCTTGCTGTACTATTAAACATTGGTATTGTTTCCTCATCTTCATATTGATGAAGATTTTCATGTATTTGTTTATTTGTGATTACAAAACTGAATAAAGTCACACTTTTTGTTACATTTAAAGTTCTTCGATTATGAACATATAGAAAATGTTTGCTAACATATTTCAATAATTTTTATTGCAATACTTTGATTGATTGATGAGTAGAGTTTTTGTGATTAAAGAACTTTTAATAACATGATTATTTCTGCATTGTATTAAAAGCTATAATCAATATTTTAGTTATTTTGTTTAATGTTTAAGAACTATTAAGATTGTACTGCAACTTTAAGATTAATTTATTTGAAGTGTTGGTAATTGAAGTCTCAGATTCTGTTGGATTATTTCTTAAGATTTATATTGATAATCTATGAATACATAAAAGGTGTTATGGAAACTGTTGATGGATGTGTTTGGATGATAATGTTAAAAGTGAATGCATGTTTGTTTTTCAGATCGGCGATAAGGTTGTGGCATTGCCGGAATTCAAGGCATGGGCCGAGCTCGTGGCGGTGCCTTCCAAATATGTGTTCAAAATGCCGCCAGGTATGACCCCGTTGCAGGCGGCAGCCATGACCATGAATTACACCGTCGCATACATCCTGCTCTTCGAAATGGCCGGTCTTTCGCAAGGCAAGAGTCTGCTCGTCCATTCAGCCGGAGGCGGCGTGGTAAGTACACATTCGCATACTACAGACTACATAGCATAATATAGTATGGTTGCCTTCGCCGTCGCCGCCGCCAACAAACACTTACTTCGTATTCACGAGCACACTCGATCCATCCAAAGCAAGTGCAATACAAATATGTACATAATGTGTTGATGTTGTAGTAGTAGTAAGTATATATCGAGTTTTGGCAGCGGCGAGCGACCCTTCCGATAAATACGTACATGTACATATACATTTCATAAAAGGGTGGTCGGATAAGAATGATATACATACATTTATATACACACATTCATCGCGTTTGTATTCGCAAAACGCAAATCCATTATATGTATTTACGAAAGCAATGTATCGTATCTGCTCACATTTTGTTTGCTTTTCCTCTTTTTTTTACCCTCGACATTATCTCGCCAACTGGAAAATTCTAGTGCCGGAAAAACGGAATTGGAAAACTTCAAGAAAAAAAAAATCAACTGTAAAATTAAATATTCTTCTATTCAGTTAACTTAAAAAGCAAAATTCAATACTTTTGATTCAGTAATTGCAATTAAATTATTAAACTATTTGAATCGAGTAATTTAAGTAAAGATTTTAAAACTGATTCATTTTAAGTCTGAAATTCTTTCGAAGGGAAGGAAATCGAAATTGAGAAACACGTTATTATTAAGACAATTATTATAAATTAAAATACTATTTAAATCAGTTAGTTAAAAAAAAACAAATATTATTTTCTATATACACTTGGTTTCTCTTTACAGGAAAACGCATAAAAATAAATCGCACAAAAAAGGACTAGACACACGTATACAAATAAAGGATACGTTCCATAATTTTTTAAAAACCGCATAAAATTAAATCAATGAGTTACAATATACCGAAAATTGCATAAAAAAGGGTTTATTAAATTTCAGAAAAATAATTAGTCTTACTATCTTATTTCTTTCTGAAATGTTTATTCATAATTTTATAAAAAACGTTAACAATCATAGACAAGTTTATTAAATTTCAGAAAAATATAATCTTAACATATTCCTTCTAAATTTATACGGAAAAATTTTACAAAGAAGAAAATACAGAAATTTTTTATAAAAGTTAATCTTTCTTCACAATTTTTTTCTTTAGAATTATATGAGTTATATGAGAGTGTTCGGTATAATTTGCGTACTGGTTCGAAATCACTTTCATCATTAGAAGAGATAGTCAGCATATCAGATCTATGTCCTGAAGATAATGATTCTTGGCAAGTAAAATTAGTCTCAACTTCGCATCTTGATTTTTTCCCTTTGACAATATAATCAGTGAAACTTGAATGCTCGTTCAGAATTATCATCTTTTTCGATGAAATGGTTTGAAAATTTGTGTCAAAACGTGTCTTCCTGAAATAAAAACCGCATAAAAAGAGTACGCATAAAAATAGGACCTAGTGTATTCACTTTAAGCTGTTGTTTAAGTATTAAAGTAATGAGTAATTAATTTGAAAAGTTTTGAAATTGGAAAAGTTATCTAATTTTGAAGCGCTTTTTTAAATAATACCATGTAATGCGTTCTTTAATATTCATGTTGCCAACTGATTATATATTCTAAACAGATTAGAGGATTCACCATAGCAACGCTTTTCTAGCCAACTAAAATTGTTAAATAATATTGAAGATTATGACAGTTAAATATTGGTAACTTCTTTGACAACATAACATACATTGTTGATATGTATTGAATTTTAGCAGAATAGAAATTTGTAAGTAATATTATTTTATATTTTACACAAAATCAATAATATTATTATTATTATTCAATAATTGTTAAATAAACTTATTTTTAGAATATATATATAACAAATATTAATTATAATAACTGTCACTGTCAATAGTGACAGGACACGAATCTGTTACCAAATCCAAATACTCCTAATTCTAAATTATAAGAGCTTTATTAATAATTTGAATATAAATTTTAGAACTAATTATAATTCTATTTATTATCACAAGTACATTGTTACTTCTACTACTAATTATCTTATTTGTAACCATAATAATAGCTATATTTTAAATAAGTTACTGTCAAAATTAAGACACATTAGTTGGGAGAGAAACATTTTAATTATTATTCAAATACTAGAACAAACTGTCAGTGTCAAAAGTGACACTGAATGTGAAATATCGATTTTGTGTTGAATACAGTGAAACAAATCACCCTTCAAACCTTATCGTTGTGTTGTGTTTCTGAAATTTTGCGAAGCGCACTTGGATTTTAATTAAATGGAAGTCAAGTTTCGAGAAATACAATTCTAATTTATGTATTGCATAAGTTGGAATATAAATTCACCCTCGAGAACTTCACGTGCACGTAATCATCGGGCGGCGACGCTGGCAAAAGGGAAGTAGTATTTTCGAAAAGGGCGAGGGGCGAAAGTTTTCATCCAGGGATCGAAATGTATATGCGGAGAAACACCCTAAAATTGCGAAATGCAAGGCAGGCGGTTTTCATGTTCTCTCCCCTCTTCCACCCCTAATCTTTATCTCTCTATTCATTTGTTTTATTTTTAGGCAACTAAATGCGCATTTTTTCCCGGAAAATGAATTCGAAATCATGAACACAATTGCGTTTTTGTATCGAATCACTAGCTTATCATTATTATAATAGTTGCTCAATACAAAAAAAAACCAGTTTCATTGATGATCAGAACAAAACGGATGCCTAATCTCTGATCTGTCAGAGACGTCAAGTTGGGTAACGGACTTTTATTTTTATCTACAAGAGAGGATTAATCATTTCTCCTAATATAAATTAAACTGTCTAAGTAATGAAACGTTTTTATTTTTTTTTAAATTTTAATCCGTGTTCCGCGAGGGGGAAAGGCAATTGTTGAAGAGCGCGTAGACAACAAAGAGAGGGAAATGTAATGTTTCATTATCCGAGTTGAGACAATGGGGGCAATTAAGCAGTGCACTCGTCATCTATATCCACCGGCTCTCAGTCGTCGTGAAAAACAACAATGCAGGATTAATAAGGACCAGAGTTTGTTTGTTTGCTCGTCCATCTCTTCTGCAGTCCTTCCACTTTCATTTCAATCCTTCGCTATTATTTCATCATCAATATTGGCGATTTGTGTGTCTCAAAACGTTGCATTATTCACAATGGTTTCAATACAAATATTGTAGCATATGCATAAAAAAATAAATGATAATAGTTGAGAATTTTACGAAATAACAAAAAAAACTTGGTTATTACAAGAACATTACATTTCTTCACACCAATTGTCGATTGAAAATATTTAAATAATTATGTTCAATCTGAGAATAAGTAAAAACTGTTGAATATCTATCTACAAGTAAATTCTAATTTCTATAGAAAACTGTGCATAGTTTGTACTTTGTATCAATGTTTACTACTTCCTATTTTTGTTGAAACTTTACGGCGAAAACTAAGTATATACAAAATTGCATATTTATTGCTTCTGTAAATACATATTATCCTTACCATAAATTTCTTGTGTGCATTTACAAAAGTTTACAACTAATGATATTAAATGTTCATTTCTAAATAGATTTACGATAGAGAGAATAATGTAATTTCTTCTTATATTAACAAAATACATTAAGATTACTCAGACAATTAGTGTATTGATTTATTTGTTTGTTTTATAGAGAGCTTACATAAATGCAAATTAATTATTCAAGTATTAACCCACATCACGTAACGCTTCTTCAATTTGACAGTTCATCTAATCTGGTTTAAGTTTAATTAGTTCGGTTCTAATTTAAAATTTGGAGATGATTTTATCATTCGTAATTTAGAATTATTTTCAACAAATTGTAAATTCTAAATAATATTTATGTATTTTTTTTTGGAAGCTGAAATTGCTACAGTCCTCCTATAACGCGGTACTCTTACAGCGCGGTTTTCGTTCAACAGCATCCCATCAACGCTTAATTCGTGTTGGAAATCTCTTTTACCTCAAATGGTTCAAGCAATGCAAGATGATTCTACAATTTCACTCCCAGTTACAGAAATAGTAAACATTGCTTCTCGTTTAAGCGATGAAGAATTTGCAGTAAACCATCAGGATGTAAGAGAACTAGTGTTCGGGGAAGAATCTTTAGATGAGGAAGAACTGATGGAATTAATTGATGCATCCACCTCAAATGCATTGGTAAAGGAAAATAAGGAAAATGAATGGGTGCCAAATCTCGATTTACAAGATGTGAAAAAAGGGCTAAATTTGGCTAAAGAATTAGAACTTCATTTCATTAAAATTGATCATTCAACGCAAAGCGCAGCGCAAAGTTTAAAAGAGAGTTAAGAAATTGCTTAGTTCCCTATAGAGAGGTTTTAGTGGAGTTAGAAAAAAAAGCTACAATCGAAAACCAATGTGAAGATGAACTAAGTGATGAAGACATTTTGCCCATTAAAAGAAGACGAGTTAGGCGACTCATATCTGACAGCGAGGATGAGTGTTGAAAGATTACATAATTTTACAAAAGTCTTGTCTTTCAGTTTAGTTCTTGTTTCATTTTTTTTTATCAATCCTTAAATAATTCATAATTTATCTTGTCTTTTGTATTTATTCGTCCACGCGATGCGACATCAAAGGCGGCGAACTCTAAATTTAAACGACGAGAAACAATTCCAAAACAAAACAACAACAATAAAAATAAAAACACCGAAATTGATTTCGTCCCATCTCTTCGCTTTCATGATTTACCATCCGCGTTTCTTTCGAAATCAAATATTCAAGTCGTTCACATTGAATTTTTTTATAATCGTATCCAATTTGTAATTCCACGACTTCTGTTTCATTCTCTTCAAAATTAACCGTTAAATTTTATATTTTTTGTCCATATAATCACAATTTCCTTATATTCAAATTATTGTAAGAAAACCGAAAGTATGTTCGGAAACCGAGGCTTCTTTTAATTTGTATTAAATCTATTAGTTATAAACATTAGTGAAAACAGAGTCTTTTTGATATAATCAATATTTTTCATCATTTATGAATCTATATGATATTTTTAATTTAATTATAATATGTAAACATTTCATCT